ACCTTTTTTTTTTTTTTTTTTTTTTTTTTTTTGGTGGTTGTATGGTGCTTGCACCATGTAAGTTGTCGTCAGTTACTGTTTTTTGTAGGGCCCCTAAACACCCTCCGAATGGGGGTACAGTTGACGGAAGCTATAACAAACACAGCCGAACTCGGTTTCTTTTTTGATTTTTTTAATATTTTTTTCAATAAAAAATATATATATATTCTGATTTAAAAAAAAAAAAAAACCTGGACAGGTGCTCATTGACATGGACCACACACCTATGCGAAAAAAATACCCTCCTACCAGCCAAACAAAAAAAACAAAACAGAGTTCCCGCTCTGCGTGAACTCTGTGAACTACGACTGATCACGTTTTTCGTGACCGGTGACCGGTGACCAGCCCGCGTTCACCAGGGCCGTGAATGGTGAATGGGGGTATGTCACTGCCTCAGACCAAACGAATCAGGCCCAGGGCCACCAACAGTTACCCGTGCCCAACTGCCCGCTGTCTGAGTTGGGCTTATGCTGCGTATCTCACCCAGGGCCTGACTTAGATACAGTCGATAGAGGAGGCCAGAGCCTGGGCGCCTTCAACCAACTGGCGCTGCGCAACTGCCTGGATTTTCCCTTGTTGCGAAGTAGTCAAAAATAGGCCTCTTATCGTTTGTTGGGCCTGCCTTCACTTAGGGCGGCCGACCTGTAGCAAGTAGGGGCCCAGTAGGGCTTATCGAGGTCTATGCCGCGCATTCCCTCCTCCATACTTCGCTAGTCCTCTGAGCAGTTCAATCTTCGATAATCTGGCGCTTTCCTTTTTGCAGAGACTTCTTATAGTGAGTGACAACCTGTGGAGCGGTTTGCATCAGTTCCTCCTTTGTGAATCACCTATCCTCCTTTGGGTCAGTGTGGTGTCTTGAACCGAACTCGGTACTGCAGCTTCGGTTTTGAAGGACGTCCCCTGTCGATCGGTCTTGGAACTGACATTTCTCTGTGATCCACGATTTCATCAATGTCGACCTCTCCATCCATGGTTGGGGGCAGCATTGAGTGTCGCGAAGGGAACTGGTCAGTTGCTTTGAAAGGTGCAAGGTTAGAAGCATGAAAAACAGGGTAGGTGTGAAGATATCCTGGAATCCCAATAACATATGGTCTGTCTGGTTCATCCCCAACTATGTCTAAAACCTCCCACGGTCCAAAGTACTGTGGCATGAGCTTTGGGGAAATCCCGTGCTCCTGTCCCAGTTCAGAAGCCTTGACCCAGACCCTGTCCCCTACCTGAAACATAGATGGGCGGCGGTGCTTGTTCTCATATTCGATCATCGCCGCCTGTGCTTTGTGCATGTGCTCTACTGCGTGTTGCATATGATTCTCATATCTATAAGCGGATTCCAAAGTGCCTGGAGAAGCAGTAGACTGATTCTCAGGTAGCAGAAAGTCAAGGGGAAGTCTGGGTTTGAACGTTAGAAGTAGGCTATTTGGACTTACTCTCGTGGCACTGCGTTGTTATACAGGCTGGCAATGAGAGCAAGCTTATCATCCCAGTCCACTTGATTGGGCTTAATGTAATGCCTCAACAAGTGCTGAACATCGCGGTTCATCTGCTCTGTCTGTCCATTTGCTTCCGGATGATTTCCAGATGTCATCTGCAGCTGCGTTCCTTGTTCTGCAATTGCGGCCTTCCACAGTTCACTAGTGAATCGGACATCCATGTCGCTGATTATAGACATCCGCAGGGCAAAGTCTCTAACCCAGTTTTCCTTAAATAGCTTGATAACGTACTCGGTCTTTGCTGTTTCCGGCATGGCCACTAACCTAGCGTACTTACTAAATCTATCCACAATGACGTAGATGTACCGCATGCCACTCTTGCTGGTGACTAGCGTATCCATGAAGTTCATGGACAGACTTTCACCAGGCCTTTCCGGAATAGGAAGGGGTTTGAGCAACCCAAGAGGAGCCTGTGTCCGGGGCTTGTCACGTTGACAAACTTGACAAGTCTCGACATACAGTTTGGCATCTCTCATCATTGTGGGCCACCAAAACCGCTGCAACAGATTAGTTGCAGTCCTCTTGAAACCAAAATGTCCGGTGGCATCATGACACTCACCTAGAAATAAACTACGCAAAGACTCTCTATTAGGAACACACGGACGCTTATTCCCGGTCTTCTCAAGGAAAAGCAGGCTGTTGACCAACTCAAACTCGGCAGAAGTCTCTTTGTCTTTCGCCTCGTGTCTGTGTATGATCTCGGCCATAAACAGGTCCTCGCGATAGACATCCACCAAAGACTGAGTAACATTGTCCGCAAGCCCAAATTCGGTGACCAGCGCATCGAGAAAGTCTGGTCTACGCGACACCACATCAACAACTTTCTTGTACTCCCCCTTGATGTACTGGGGTTCGAAGTCATACTGCTCAATGGCTTCGATCCAATGCTTCAGAGCGTCGGAGAGTACCGGTTGAATCTTCATCCATCTCAGGGTCTGATGATGAGTCCTGACATAGAAGAAGTGACCAAGGAGGTAGTGCCTCCAGTGGGTGAGCGCTTTGTAGATCGAGTAGAGCTCCTTCTCATAGGTGGACTTAGCCAGCTTTTGAGAGGGCATCTTCTTGGACATGTACTCTACCGGCCTTAACTTCTTCCTCTCCTGCTGCGCAAGTACGGCGCCTATGCCATATTGGCTAGCATCCGTAGTTACTACGAAAGGTTTGTCAGGATCAGGAAGTTTCAAAACCTCGTGGTGTGTCAACGCATGCTTCAGTTGTCTGAAAGCAGCCTCACACCAGTCTGTCCACTCCCATAAGAAATTCTTCTAAGGCTTGGTGCTAGTGGCAGAGGGTTGAGGTGGTTGTGATGGTGGGAGAGGACGTGCTCTGCGGGGAAGGGGCTAGCCTGCAGGGTTGAAATAGGGTATAGCAGTGGTGGAGATAGTGGCTCCATTGCGGTAAGACTTGCCGGAGTAGGGCTGAGAAGGTTTCTTTGTGGGATATCTGCAACTAGTGCCTGAAGGAGGGATGATCGGATCTACAGCTATGGCGCTTTTTGGTGGCTTGACTGGTATCTGCCGTAGTCCCGAGTCCCGGGGGTTTGTGAAAAGACGAGGCCAGAACGACGCTCGTCAGTGCTGGGGCTTGGTCGCGCTGTCCTGTAACTCGAGCTGTACGAGGGCATGAGACCTGGTAGGGAGATCTGGGGAGTTGTCGAGGGTGGAAGGCACTCTACTGTCTTTTGGTGAGCTGGTGCCTAGTAGACGCTGGCCGGAGCCGAGGAGGGTGGCGTTGCCCTGTGGCCTAGCAGGTGGGGGGTTTCTGGGGTGGGTCGTGCCACTCTGTAACCTAGCAGTTGGGGGCGTGAGGCATGGTAGAGATTGGGCATAGGGTATAGGGGTGAGGCAGGTAGCGTTTGTCCGCTGAAAGGTACCAAGGCAGGTGGTTTTTTCAGTCTGAATTCTCCTTTGAGCCAAGATTTGAAAAACAAAAGGGTCCTTCGAATTTAGCACTTCCATTAGCCCCTTTGAGGCTGTTTCTTTAGTACTTGGTGTAAGTTGTTCTCAGAATTTTCTCAGCCGAAGCCGGGTAATGGCCCGGGTGCTTCAATACTTGTGTATTTTTATGGGACTCTGGGCCCGGTTCCCAGCACGTGCTGCTCCCCACGAATGGATTGGAGCATTTTGTCCCCCCCCCAAAAAAAAAAGAGTTAAAAAAAAAGAGTCAAAAAAAAGAGTCAAAAAAAAGAGTTAAAAAAAAAGAGTTCTTGAACACTGTGGCATTTCGACGGCAGCTTGTTGTTCTTGAACACTGTGGCAATTCTTTTTTTTTAGGGGCTAGGATTTCAGGACAGCGGTCTTGGTTTGGCCATTTCTGTTCCTAGATCTTTTCTGGCCCTCGTTCAATGGCGAGCCTAGGCTCGTACGCTCAACTGGCTGAAGCTGCCAGGATAACACCGGGTAGAATTGTGAGGTCCCCGGCGAGGCCCCCATGACTTTTGGCAATATACTGAACAACTTTCCAAAAAAAAATATATGTATATATATACATATATATATTTTTTGAGAGTGCTCATGAAAATATTTTTTGAGAGTGCTCATGAAAATCTCTCTCTGACACCTCTCAACTGTCTTTTTTTTTTTTTTTTTTTCCCACAGACCCCTCAATATCTTTCTTGTGTCCAGTTCTGGAGTGGTGGTGTGGCGTTGGCTCAAGTCTCCACTCCCTTGCTTCTCAAGTGGTGGTGTGGCAAGGCCCCACCGTATCTTCACCCGAATAGAACACCTGGTCATTTATAGAATGCTCGGTCATTATAGCTGTATTTAGTTCACCTTGCAGTCTACATTAAGCGATAATGACCGGGCGTTCTATTCGGGTGAAGACGATAGTATAATCCTTTTTCACTGAAAAAAAGACAAAGATTCATGATGATAGCCTGATGTGTCATCACCAGTTGACGGTCCCGAGTGTTTGCTCCGGTTGTCGTGGACCCATGTCCTCAGCAGCTCTTCTCCAGCTGGAACGGGGCCTGCCATTAAGAATTATCGACAGAAGTCTCAGCTCTTTTTATCCCCCTTTGTTTTTTTTTTCTATTAGTAATTGCGGATCACAGCCGCCCCCCACCTCCTCCGCCCGTCCCCATTCCCCCATTCCACCCTCCACCGCTCCACAGCTCCCCCTCAGCAGTATTATGATGTTTTCTTCTTGTTTCTCTAAGACTTGACCCCGCAAGCCCCCCCCCCCCCCCCCCCCCCTTAACATTTCTCCACAATGAAGCCCCTATCCAGACTATCCAGACTCTAAAAAAATCCCAAATTGTTTACCATGGAGCCGAGCAAAGGCTGTAAACACTGGGCAAAAGACGCTCGGTGACGGTGTGGATTTCTTAGGCCTGGAGGAAAAAGCATGTCCAGCTCAGAAAAATGAGGCTTGGACCCACTGGCTGCCTTAAGGACCCCCCCGGGACCATCAACCCCCCAACATTCCAGCGGACCTACTGGACACACTGTGCTGGTTGGCACCAGACCCAGCCAGGACAACCTGCCCAGCCCTGGTCGGATGAGACGGGCCGCATAATGGTGGCCGCTTGGGACATTATCCTTTTCTATACTGGTCCTGTGACCTAACTGTGGTAGCCACCAAGAACTAGTACCTGGTACTTTGCCCAGCTATTGATGCCGACACTAGAATAGGCTGCACGCCTGCACCCCAAAACCCACGAATGAGCATGAGCCTCCTTTTAGCTGGCACCACCAGCCATTTTGGCTCAGTACCTGACCCCCGAAAGATGCGGCTCTTAACGAGCCTCATCCCGAAAAAATAGCTGGGAAAGGTATTGGTGGTCTAAACAGCGCTATCCAGGCAGTGTCTGATGACCCCTACCCTTAGGCCAAGGACCTAGTACCCTCAGTACACGTCCGCCTATGGGCAGACCAGGAAAACCATGGCCTGCTGGCACCAACAAAAGAGAACCGGCCATTTTTTTTCATTTTTTTCTTTTTCCGGCCACTGCCTTCAACTACACCTCATGTTCCTCTTATCAGCACGAATGTAATTGTAATCCAAATCGCCAACAGTGAGGTCCCACTTGCATGGAATTACGAGATGCAAAAAAACAAAAGAATTACGAGATGCTAACTGTCAAAATTATCTTCATTATCTAGGGCCTCACTCCACTACTCAGCACTCTAATCTTGGAGACTTTCTGGACCCAACACATTAAAATGTTGGACTCGTCAAAATGCACCTGGTCCAGAAAACTTCCAAATGCATGTACTAGAATGTTGTGTACTACTGTCTTCACCCGAATAGAACGCCCCGTAATCATTGCCGTATTTGGACTGAAAGTTGCACCACATACGGCTATAATGACGGGGCGTTCTATTCCTCTGAAGACAGTAGTTGAGCTACCTCTTCATCCATACTAGTGCCACCTCACTCCAGCATTAAATGTTGCCCTCGTCCAAATGCACCTGGTCCACAAAACATCCAAATGCATGTAGAGTGTTGTGTATTACCTAGTTCAGCTACCTCTTAATCCCAGGGGCGAAGGTCCCACTAGCAATGGGATAGGATAGAAACGAGTTTCTGGGGCAGTTGAGTGAGACCCAAATCCCACTGGCAAAGAGGATTGGAAGAAATGTCTGAATCTGGACGTGTCCCACGCAGAGGGGCAGAAAAGTAGATCAATCACAATTTTTCGCACCTGTCCACAAACACGTCCAGATTCAGACATTTCTTCCAATCCTCTTTGCCAGTGGGATCTGGCCCTGAGACCCAAATCCCAGTTGGGATCAAGAGGTAGCAGTCACAGTTGGGACCAATTCCTAAACAACTGGACTTTTTTTTTTTTTTTTTTTTTTTTTGCCCCTGCGAAAGAACAGTTCATTAACTTCCATTATTGTGAGGCCTGCACTGTGCACAGCCTTTCTGCTTTTTGTGCTCTTGGCACTGTCCACAACCCTTTTCTTCTTCTTCTTCTTCTTCTTCTTCTTCTTCTCCTTTTTGGGGGGGGTAGGGGGGGGGGGTTAGGGCGGCTCTGGGCACCTTGCACAGCCTACATGACAACCACCTCAAATTTCATATTTTTTCCCCAATCAAAAGAACGCCAGGCCCCATTCCTGGCGCTGAAATATAAGGATTGTCTTTAGAAAAGTAAAAAGAAAAAAGAAAAAAGAACCACAGATGTAATGCAGAATGTGAGTTGAGTTTTGAAATGGGAGAAGAGAACTCCCCACTTAGGTGAACTTGAGTGGGCACATGCCTGAGCTGCACTGGATGATGGGTGACCCTGTGGCCAGATTACTGTTTCTTTTTTGTTTCTGCTTTCTGGGGGGAACAGATTGCAATTTCCCACTGGGCAGAGTTGGAGCGATTTCCAACACCACCCCCCCACCACCACCACTACCCCCAACCCCCGAAAAAAAAAAAAATGGTTCTCATGTGTCTCGTCGTGTCCCAGACTAAATTTTGTGCTTCCTGGAAACAGCGACCCTGTCGAT